CGGAAAAATCAAAAACCACGCGCGCGTATACGTTTCGCGTCATATCGGCATTAGTCACCTGGCACTTTCGTGCACTAAGTACGGTTACTTAAAAAGCCCGGGAGCTCTTGAAATTTATTTCGTCGGATCTATGATGTGCAATCATTAAACGTTAATCAGTACAACTGCAGTTTATAGGTATGAATGACTGTTTATTGTAGAAACAACATAAGTAAACTTAATGTCGTTCAAGGCACACACGTCGTATGGTAGGACAGTCCCTCACCATATATATATAATATATATATATATATATATATATATATAAACAGTAAATTATATGTTTCATAATAAGCTATACCATTGAATAATTATTATTATTATTTTTAACTGCAAATGCGTTATTCATTATTTATAATTAGAAGGAGAATAACGTTGAGGGGGCTTTGTTATCCTGGTCTAGGAGTTGTTGCATATCAATTGATGCGATATTATGTGTTGGTTCAGATTTAGTAGAATCATTATTGGGTAAACCTATCGGGATGGTTGCAGGGGACAGTGAGTTATTTATTTGGTTGTGTGGCCATATTTGCTACCTTAGATTTTAGTGCTAAAGGAATTGACCTTGGCTTGAAAAAATTGTTTATTGCCCCCTTTTTAATGCGATATTTGGTATTTATTAAAGGTGCCAATTTCATTTTTGAATAAATGATCGAAATTTTTTAATATGTTCTCTATATTTTCGTCTAAATTTACGGTGTTATAAATGGGTGAATAGTTTATTATTTTTAAATCATTTCAGATCAGTCAGAAATTTCTTCGCGGTCAAGAATTCATTAAGCACTTTAAGCAGCGGAGTGCAGATAATAGAGCTGATTATTACCAAATGAGAACATGGTAACAGTCTGACTAACAGACTAACGGTAACGGAGGTCGGATCTCGGATTCCGGAGAGTCGTTGCGATTGGGAATATTCCAATAAACCGATAATGTGGAAAATCCATCACTTATTTTTAGAGGGTATATTATTGTTTGATAATATTGTTGGATGATTATATATTATATAATATTATGGAGATTCGCGTGATTTTTGTATTATCTATAAAATATAGGTACTTAATAAAATTAGTACATAAATGATAAATGTCGTGAAAATCATCGTAATTAATAAATTATAAAATGTTCAGTTTTTATAGCTAAGGATTGAAAATTAAAAACAAGATTCCACATAAGTAGTTAATTCTCTTAAAGAAAAATCTAAAAAATATACAATTACAGTTTATTTTTATAGTAATTTTATGTTAAAATTTTAACGAAATTACATATTAAAAAACCTAGTTATTTTGTTGTGATTATATAATATTATTCGTGGGTACCTACTTGAAACTTCTAAAGTGTACTATTATATATCTATGATAGTATCAGGGTTTGTTATTGATGTTGATGTATAACGTGTTATAAGTACCTAATGGATATTGTGATAATGTGATATGATATGATTAATTTAGAATTTATTATAGGTCAATTTTTTTTAATACCATAGATATGTATATAATTTGTCTTAAACCTAGACTGACATAGGTACCGTCTTCGCTCAGAATCGTTTTTCTTATACAATGATATTGTATCATTGAATTCAAATTTAATAGCATCCATTATACAGTGACCCACTTGTAACCTACTGTACAGCAGAGCGACATCCACTTACCCACCTTTTTAAATATATTTTTTATAGACAATAATATAATACATTTTTGGTGAAAATTTCAAGTCCCCAAAGTTATCCCTTTCTTAATTAAAACTAAGAAACAAAATCGACTTTGTCAATAATGTCAAAAACTCCAAGTGTTGCAAAATATTTTCTTTTTTCACAGTATTGTTAGTTTTTCCTAATTATTAAGAAAATGTTCGACTGAAACCATCCAAAATATTGGAGAATGAAGCAAACTGTCAGACAACATGTCAGACTAATTGTTTATTCGAATACCATTTCCTAAAGGAAAACGAATTCATGTAACATAATTCCAAACTGTATTAAACGCGAACTTCTGACTTTGATAGTAAATTGTAGTCGATAAACATAAATGGGACAAGTGTAATCCACATTATCAAGTTGTATCTAATTAATCCAACCCAAAGTTGAATAATACAATTATTGTAAGAACCTTCTAAGGTGATAACAGTAAAACCACAATCAGACTTAGAAAAAATGAATAACATATGGGAACAGCTCTAAAAAATACGTGTGCAATAACTTTATTAAAGAGAAAATCATATTTATAATAGAAACTCTTAAATTAAATAAAGATAAATTGAAAAGGCGATATGTAGTTAAATATTCAACAGTGACAATGCCCTGTATAATTATTTCAGTAACAATTGAATATTTACAACTACAGATATAATACAATATATCTCTCGATGTTTGTGGAATAATGAATAGGTATTATAGTTATAACTTGAAGTGTACAAAGACGAAAATATTAAATGAAAAATGTACTAATTTATTTGTTAGTATAACCTAACCAGTAAATATAAAATATTATTTTAGAATAGGTAACTTTACAATATTTTTTATTACTGGAGATAACGAGATATGTAATGACGCGTCTTCTACACACTAAAGCTGTTGTTTTGCCTATAATCAACGCCGTGTTCAAAAATTATAAATTACATATTTCTAAAAAAAACCTGTATTCTTATAGTTATAAGTTTATGACTTATTCTTGTTTCTTAAAAATATAACTTTCAGGTTACAATCAATAAATTGATATGCAGCGTTTTCTTACTATTTATTAATTAATGTGTTTAGTTTTAAACAAAAATATACATACATACAATTAATAAAATTAATTAATATTACAATGTAGGTACTAGGTTTTCCTAAATCAAACATCAGGTGAAGTAAGTTACCACATCTGTTATCATCGTTGTTTTATATTTTTCACTATGCGTGTGAATGAAAAAAAAAACCATTAATGTCTGGAAATAATGGGTTGTGAACATTTCAAAATATTTACCACCTGTTAATGTTTCGAACTCACCTTCGCCATCAGCAAGGGATTTAAGAAAACCTTTTAACGCTATTATTATTTCAAAGTAAATAAATAAAACTCTAAAACCCAAATGGTCATACATATTTTATTATACTTCATGATTAAAAAGATTAGAGAAAAAAACAATAGTACTTCAATATTAATTTTGGCACTTTTATAGATTAAATATAAAATTAAAATAATTTTTATTTGCTCTATTTCGTGGAAATATGTATTACTTCAGGACTAATTCTGATTTCGTCAAAATATTGCCTACATTTTCAGAAACTATAGCTAGAAAAAAATGCTTGCATTAATTTTATTTTTTCGTAAGTATAGTAATTTTATTATAATACTTAATATGATAAGTTTATACTACAAACATCTGTTTTTAAATTGTTTTGATAAATATGTAATTTTTATTAGTTGCGTTGACAAAATATTTATACCGATCACAAATTATTTAAATTTATATGACAATTTCTTCATAAAACGATGTTTGAAACTAATGGATACCTAGTTAGTAACTCAATTTTAACAGTCCAAGAATCCATCCATTATCACCACCCTTGTAATTCGGTTATTTGAAGAGACATTCCTTGACTTTCATAAGAATGCGTCTGAATGCTTCGTATTTCGTTTTCAGTTTGTACTTTCCTTAGTTAGTCTACGAAAGTACAATACTAACCCACTTTGGCCAAAACCCTAATACGATTTGTAAGGGTTGACGACAGCCATCAGCTAGAAAGTTATGTATATACATAATACATACAACATACAACATTATATAACATACGTGTATACAAGTATATTGTATACAATTAAAGTACATGTTCTAAAACATAAATGTAATATACTTTTCACAGAAAACTCGAAATTTTAAATTATTTAATAGTAGGTGATTTTATATTATTAATATTGGTATATACAGTACTGAAAGAATAGTGCACAACTCAAAATTTTCCGATTTTCGGGTTTTGATTGATTCTAATACTTATTTCTCTGCTCTATCTTTTAGTCAACTTCATAAAATCTGGGAACTTCGTCAGAACTGACATAAGACCTTTGATATGCCATTATTCTCGTGGAACGTTTTTAATGTTTTTATCACTTCCACACTTGAATATAATGTCACAACTCAAAATTCTTGTCCTACTGTAAGTTTTATCTTTAGCAAAACGAAACATACTAAATTGTTGTATCTTTATGGTTGTGAATAATATAAAATTATATAAATAGCACCAACCAGCAGTCAAATATTCTATTATTATCATAATATTAATTTTGTTGAATTCCTGCTGTTTGATGATCGTCATTTTATTAAAGGCATAATATTATAATACAGCTGTGGTCCGTGTTCTAAGCATAATAAATAATATTATAACCATTAAGAACTGTGGTATAAACTATAAAGACGAGTTACAATGGGGGTGTATTATAAATAATATTATTTATACAATTTATTATTTTAATTGACATAAGTATTATTGTATTTACTCAGTTTTGAGTTGTGTAGACACGATATACGGTGTGATCGCGATATTAGGTACCACTGAATATCTCAGATGGGTGTCTTTGTATTGAAATGGGGTTTTCGGGAGGTGATAGGGAGCACTTAAATACATATTTTCAGACCAGTCTCAAATTTTTATCTCACTCGGTACGCGCATGCGCAATACGACTTACTTTTTTTTAAATGGCAACCCCAGTTTTTTATGCAGATTCGGGTAGAGTATTTTTTTTAAACATTTATTGTATAAAAAGTTTTTTTCTATTTTCAAAACTGACCAAGTTAGAGTAAGTCAAAAATTGGATTTATGCATAATATGTGTTTAAGGCGGGCTTAGGCGGGCTGCACACTGAAGAAACTTGTTTTAGAAACCAATTTAAGAAATAAATTTAATGAAATTAGTTTTATGAAACTAATTTCTTATTTGCGTACACTGGTGAAATTAAAGTGTGAGAAACTAATGTATAGTTTCGACAATGTCGTCTGATGATGAGGATGTGTTTATGTTATATTGGTGGCTTCGTAACAAAAAAAAGAAACGTAGGTATTGGATTCATCCACTTTTAAAAGATAAACAGCATAGTAGCTATGTAGTTGCAAAGGAATTAACCGCCGATGAGGATAAATTCCAAAGTTTCTATAGAATGTCTCAAGTTGCTTTTCATCGTTTAGTGCAGTCAGTTGGACCACATATAACGAAGAAAGATACTAACTGGAGAATGGCTTTGGAACCAGAAGAAAAACTCATAATAACATTGAGGTAAGTTTAATTATATATTTTATTCTAGAAATAGAAATTCAGTAAAAAAAAAAATACAAATTTAAACATTTTCTGAGTTATAAAAATTAATGAAATAAAAAAAAAATACAGTATACTAATTACAAAATACTAGTTTTTGTTATTCAATTTTCTGGTCTTCTGAGCAAATATGGTTGAAGTTCTTGGTACAGCATGTTAGGGTGGTCAATCTCAGAAGAATTCTGTTCTGATGTGTGAGAGTGACCATCATATGATGAGGAATCGGAATGATGTTGTAAAGTTGTTTGATAGTTGTTAGATGTCAAGTATGATATTGGTGGTTGTCCAAGTGTTCTGTCAATAAGATTGCCCACATCGCGTCTGAAAGCTCTGAATTGCACTGTACTCATTTCTTCTAAATCTGGAAGTAGACTTAATAAAAAAAGTTTTTTCGCATTATCTTCATTTGGTGGTTTATTTGACTTTGACTGAATGTAGTTGATTATGCAATCGTCTGCAGTATCAACTTGTGTTTTTTTCTTTTTCTTTGGAGGCCCCATTGCATATTGGCTGGTAGTTTTGGTAGTATCTGCACTAATACTACAAGACGAAACATCGTATGTGGGATTTTCAATGTCATTGCGTATATCCGATCTGTTTATTTCGGTTGGGTTTTCTTCTTCAAATTCTTGAAATTCCTCGTTGTTAGGTGGTGATGGTAAATTTCCGGGTAATGATTTGTCCAAAGTAATATTAATATATGGTTTTAGAAAACTCATATTTTCTGAAAGATACCACGTCTTATTTTTATTATTCACTCCAGATCCAGAAGGTGGCTTCTTTATAGCACGTGTATAAACTATTCTTAAGTTTCTCCACGATTCCTTGCACTCTTTTGCTACAACAAAGAGAAAACAATTCTATTAACCGCTAGGCAGTATACAAATTAGTGTTTGACTTGAATTTTTTAACTCTGTTTAATTATGAGCAATATTTATAAGAATTGGAGTTTTTATAAAAATCAATATTAATTATATTATTTTATGAGTATTTTTATCAGTACATATTCTATTAAATCGTAAAAAACAAGAAAATTTGTTTATTTTGTTAACCTAAAAATTCACAAAATTTTTTTATATATTATTTCAGATATCTGGCCACAGGCGGCAGCTTTAGAGCTTTGGCTCACTACTTCGTAAGAGGTGAAAGAACAATTGGTATGACTGTCGCAGAAACAACTGAAGCTATATGGACCTGTTTACATCCAGAATGGTTACCTGTTCCAGATACAAATGCATGGAAAAACATTTCAGCACGTTATCAACAACTATGGAGTTTGCCTCACTGTTTGGGATCGATTGATGGCAAGCACATAAGAATTAAAAAATTTGGAAATACTGGCTCACGTAATTTCAATTACAAAGGTTATTTTTCTGTTCAACTTATGGCGTGTGCAGATGCAGATGGTTGTTTTGTTACTATTGATGTAGGCGATCTTGGTAGAAACAGCGATGGGGGAGTTTTTCGTTCATCTCGTTTAGGTCGATGGTTGCAAGCTGATGGTCTTAATTTACCACCACCAGAACCATTACCACTTGACGAAAACGAACACAGCTTCCCTTATTATTTTTCAGCAGATGAGGCATTCCCTCTTAAAACATATATTATGCGACCATATCCTAGAAGCTCTTTAACAGATAAGCAACGAGTTTTCAATTTTAGGCTGTCTTTAGGTCGTAAGACAGTCGAGTGTGCGTTTGGAATGCTCACATCTAAGTTTCGTGTGTTTGAAACGCCTATAGGTTGCTCAGAAAAAACCGTGATATCTATTATAAAATGTGCATGTGTTTTGCATAATTACATTCGCAAAACAGAAGGAAAAATGTATACGCCAAGAAATGATGTTAATATTGATGAAGACACTCCTATGCCAAATGTAAACTTAGAAATAAACAGAAACGTTAATTTAACGACAGCAAAGGGAATGAGAGACTACCTCAGTGATTACTTCTTAAAACCTGGTGTTGCTATTCCACCTCAATGGTTAAGAATTGTGGGAAGTATAGAGTAATCACATGGTTATTAAATATGAAAATAAAAATATCACTATAGTCGCTATAGATATATTTGGTAACTTATACTTATATTTATATTTATATTTATACTTATACTTGTATATATAATAAATTAAGTTTATGACTAAAAACCATTGTAATCATTAATATTAACAAATATATATCGAAGTTATTTCAAAGTTGTTTACTAACCTGTTCGTCCTACCTCCTTTGAAACATTTTCCCAGGCCAGGTCGACCTTATCTCTATTTCTATAATCCTTGTTTTTGTAATCGTACAAGCAGACGTATCCTTCGATTGCTTCTATTAATTTTGAATTAAAATCTCGTTCTCCTTTCGACATCGTATTTAAATATTTAAATAACAATAAAAATATATAAAATCAATTAACATCGAACTTATATATTTAATTATTCACTAGCACTAAAGTGAACTCAACTACTCCGAATGACGTACGTTATGCTATTAAATAATAATATTGTAGATATTACGAGTCCACGAGATTTTTGACGAGTCCACAAACGATATTTTGTATAAAATAAAAAAAAAAACAAAGATACTATTGGTCAAAACATCGATAACGTTTCTATTATGGGGATTTATTTACTATGAAGATTATTAATAGCCTAGGTATTTTTATGTCGTATATAAATAATATTCAATAAGTACGATAAATACTATTTACTATTGTTGCTATGCTGTATATACAAGGTACAGTGTATAGTATATATATATATATATTATGTATATTATACTAAAATATGATAAATAGGTACCTACCTAATTATATTATTTCGTATAATTTATACGAAACTTTGTTGTTAAAACCAAAATTACAAGTTTCATGAAACCGTGGTTGCGCAACTATGGGAAATTTTTGTTTCATGAAACTCAGTGTGCGTATCTATTTGATTTTTAATTGAATGGTTTCATGAAATTAAAGTTTCACATTTCATGAAATTAGTTTCTTAAAACAAGTTTCTTCAGTGTGCAGCCCGCCTAATGCAATTTTTATTTATAACCACTGGAAATAATAAAATAAGTGCCAAAAAGAGTTTAATGGCGGACGGAGTGGCCAAGCGGACTAAGGCGTCGGGACGAGCACCGTCGCCAGTTCGAACTCGGCCACTTAATTAATACACTTTTAATAAAATTAATACAATAATTACTAATACAATAAATTATTAATACACTTTTTGATGACCTATGAATTTTTTTAACTTAATTAGACTTGCGCATGAGCAATACAACTTTTTTTTCGTAAATGACAACCAACTATTTTAAATAGTAATTTTTTTTTGCCTAATTTTTGTATTTCATTTTGTTAGTTGAACCAACTTTCTAAGTCCAAAATTGACCAAGTTACAGTCAATCAACAAAAATACTGCAAATTGATCTCAGTTTTCAGTTTCTTTACTGTAATTCTGAAAATAATCGTTCTAAAATTTTTTAGTATTAACATTTTCATTACTATTAATTTAGACGATATTTAAACGTTCGGTATTATAATTTTCACTTTAATTTGTGAGCTACGTATAACAAAGCAGAAAAAACGTAAATAATTATGTTGTTTATTTCGTTACATTTAATGAACCTATTAGAATTATCTAAATTAATTACCTATGCTATTTTAAATTAGAAACCTTATCTAATACTTATCGTATTTTATCAGGCATTATAAAATTAATCATTTATCTGTATGACTGTATGACAATTTTATACAAAATTAATGATATTACTGAACATTTCGATATTTTTCATCGTTCATTATATACGTAGGTACATCATACGTTACTCCGTGACAAATATGAATCATTCGGAAAAAATCGATATGTTATTTATTTATTGGGAGTGTATAAAAAAATCACGTTATGCAGCTCAAAATTATGCTCAACGTTACCCAGGTATGCTTACTAATTTTATTTATATTTTTTTAGATAATTTTCTAAGTTAGTTTCGTTATTTTTATTGATAACTTCAGATAGAGAACATCCTGCCCATAGTTTTATTCATAATTCATAAAGAAATCTTAGAACCCATGGGTCATTTTCTAAGAGGGTAAACAACCAACAATGTTGACGAGGTAATGCTTTAGGTGAAGCGGTTAAAGAGCAAATATCAGCCTATGTTAAAGTAAATCCCAGAGTTTCTACACTGCTCGTCGGAAAAGAGCTTGGAATATCGCATAACGCAGTTTGTAAGATTTAAAAAAAAATACAAATTGCATCCATATCGACCAGATTTAGTTCAACGTTTGCGTCAGGGTGATGCGGATCGTAGACTAGCTTTTATTGCGTGGATCATGGCCAGTTTAGACGAAAATCCATTAATTTTAAATACAATACTATGGACAGATAAATCTAAATTTACTAATAAACAGTTAGGTTAGGTTAGTGTTATAAACAAACAAAATAACCGTTACTGAGACGATCAAAATCCACATTGGACATTTGAAACCAATAACCAAACTATTTGGGGAACAAACGTTTGGTGTGGTTTAATTGGAAGTAAATTGTTGGGTCCATTTTTTTATGACATTAACACTCAATGGTAGATGATATTATAATTTTTTATTAAAATAATTACCGATGATGCTTGATGATATTCCTTAGCTCTAAGAAAAAATATTATTTTTCAACACGACGGTGCTCCAGCTCACAATGCTCACATAGTTAGCGACTATTTAAATACACAGTTTCAAAATCCATGGCTAGGAACTTACGGACCCATTCAGTGGCCACCACGTTCACCTGATCTTACGTCACTAGATTTTTTTTTATGGGGTCACTTAAAAACAATAGTGTATGCAGAACCTCCTATAAATCTTCGAAATTTAAAAGATAAATAACAGCAGTGATTGCATGCCAAAAAACCTAACACAAAAATTGAGAGAGTTCTATTCAGACTGCGTAACGCGTTTTGTCTATGCTTTACGTGTGTAAAACGGATACAACACATGTGGGTGTGACGTCCCCTTAATGACATTAATAATAATTCATCTATTTACAACATCTACCGAGCATATTTAAAAACAATGTAATTAAACATATTTCTATCAAAACAGTATAAAAATGTAATACAAATTTGATTTTTAATGTATTTTTTAAACCTTAAATAGCTGATTACCAAAAGTTGTGTTTTTTGAGTTGTGTCATTATTCTTTCAGTACCTAGTGAGAATTATGACTATTAAGGAAAATATATTATGATTAATAATGTAATAAAATTCAAAATCTTAGTGGATACGTACCTTCAAGAAATATACATCAAATTAAGAAAATATATTATGTGGAGGTTAATTAAAGAAAAGAAAAAACGCTCACCTTCTTAGCTTTTGCATAGGTAACTCACTCGTGTGTGACAATTATATTATATGTTATAAAATAAGTATAGTATTTAGTATGTGATTAATTAATTTACATGGCAAACGTAGACAAGTGAAGAAAAAACAGCCGACGGAACACCTATAGTTAGTTTACATAATCATTAATTACATAAGTTACATTTTAGATTATATAACTACTGTACTGACGTACTGTGCACCAATTCAAACGAGTTACCGGTAGGCGGTAACAGAATTTTTTTTTTTAAGAGTTTATAAGCGGTTATAAGTGGTTATAAGTAGGTTTGTTTCCCCAATACTCTTGTATACGTGTATAAAAATCCTTTGCTGTGATTGGTTGGTTAGGTTAAGTTACCACACGATTAACCACGATTCCATGTTGTTGGACATCGCTGAACATTTTTCGTGTACACGGCAAACGTGTATACTTAGTGGTAACCCGCCTTGAATCTGTAACCTGTTATCTTAAATATCGTACGGATAATAGGTTACCGGTAACTGGTATCAAAAATTGTTTGGTAACCGACAATTATGATAACGGTTTCAAACCCGGAAAATTTCTTGCAAAATATTTGCAACAGTTTGAAGTCTATACTTCTATAGCACAAAAAGCACAAAGTATAGTGGTGGCAGCGTTAAGTTGTATATTCAAATACCAAACAATTTATACATTTTTTAAATGTTCTAAAAGTAGGTATCATTATTCATAATATACATTTAAACGTGACTTGCTTATAGTGTTATCCAAAATTTTATCACTTACATTAAATTATAGAATAATATATGTATGGCTTGCTAGGTACAAACTGACAACTTTAATTTACTATGCAACAAATTAGAAGTTATCTTATTCGTTATCATATTCATTAAAATGTGTAACCCCTTCCCAGGGGTAAACCGTAAACGATTAGATATATTCATACGAATAAAAATAAAAATACCACATGAAAAACAAAATTATTATTGTAAATTCAAACTCCTGTGTATTTTAATTTTTAATATTAAATAATTATAATAAAATACATTTTTTTTTTTATTAATATTTGTAATTTTACTTTTAACTACCAAAGGTTATTATATCTATAATTACTATTCAAAAAAAGGTTTTTCTATTTACATTTTTGCTTTTTTAATGGTTGATCTTAATGTTCATTTTAATTTAAATCAGTTTGTTTTTTAAGTGTTCCTTGCTGTTGCCTGTTGGTCGTGTATGTCGGTCTAATATTGTTATTTATATTATAATATTTATTAACATTTTATACCTATAATTAAATATTATTATGTGTTTACTTGTTAAATTTATACGACCTTGTAATAAAGGTAGATGTGAAACTGTATTTCAAAGTCTTAAATTCGTTATTTATTATTAATAATATATTAATATATACCTATTATACTTATAAGTACGTAAAGTGTTATACATATCAAATTTAATATTAACCTACTATACTCAATAATTATTCAATAATTTTCACACAGGGCCTACAAAATCAATGACTAATAAGACAAACCCAAAGTAATACATTTAAACATATTAATAATACAGGGTGATTTTTTTATCGTGAACCAGTTAATACCTCGGGAAGTATTAGTAATTTTAAAATAATTTTTTTTTTAAACTTTCTAGGTTTTACTATTTTACACTGTGTTACAATTTTGAAAATTTTAACTTCCTCCCTTATTTGATGAAACACTATCAACTTTCGATTTTCAAATGGCAATACCTATTTTCGATAACGAAAATCTATAAACATACTGAAAAAAAAATTTTAACGTTTACAGAATTTAATTTTAGTAAGCCGTTTACGACTTATTAATGCTGAAATATTCGTTAAATTTACTGCTACTGGGCAATTTAACAACCCAACTGTAAAAACCAGAAGTAAAAACGAAATTTTATCTCAATTTAACAATACCCATAATAATCGATAATAATAACTAATAAGTACAATAGTACAAAGGTCACACGAATTGGACCTTAATATCTTATCACCCCTCCCAGCCGAACACATCCGATTGTCCAGTGAAATAGTGAATACTGAATAACACATTGATAATATCTTTATTATCTATGGAATAACATGACAAAATAAATAGATAGGACATAGGTACCTATGTCAGCAACAATACGAGACGCAGTCCGGTTAGCGCATCCCACCCTTCGGTGTCATTTCTCAGCCATAGTCGTACTTTGTCTCATTTCATTTGGCGAACCAGCTTATCAAAGGGGTGTGGAGTGGTCGACGAACCCGATGCGTATCAAAAAGTTGCTGACATACCTATCTATTTTGTCATGCTCAAACCGTTTTTTATAAATTTACCATCATGGTTACATAATATAGCACTGGTTACCAGTGGCTTGCCGAACTGACAAGCAGACCTGAGGCAAACAATTTGATCAGGGGCCCCACCACCAACAGTTTTTTCACTTTTTTTTTTTTTATTCAAAATAATAAATATTATTAAGTTTTTTTAGGTATAAGTTGCACATCTATACTAATTACTAACACACCCACCCACCTACCCGAATTTTCCCTGAAGCAATTTCCTCAAAAAATTACTATTCAGCACGCCTCTGCTGGTTACTGATCCCTTGTATACGGTCTTATCACGTATAAACGATAATAAATGCCGGTAAACTGTTTCTGAAAACATATTGTGGTTATTGGTTAATCGTTAATGTTAGTTTCCCATTATCAAATATGGAATAAATAGATGATATTATGATAATATGTAGTATAATTGGTACTTGTTTGTTATCGCCCCGCCAGTACACCTTATAAAATTTATCGCCCCGCCACTCTTGTTTGTTATCGCCCCTCCAGTACATCGCATACAATTTATCGCTATTGCTAATTGTTTATGATCTATTTTAGAAAATGATAAAATGTACTTTTATCATTTTTATGATATAGGATATTTAGTTCGTTGCTGGCTTTCGTTTACCGTTTCATTTACTTATTACCTACTACAGAAAAATTCGAAAAAATTAATTTATACGTTAAAATGAATTTTACTGAATTACTTTCAATTGTTTCAAACAGTGATACTGGAATTAGCTTTTTACAACAACATAATATAGTTAAAGTTAGTGAAGTGTGTGAAAATGGCCATATAATGTTTATCAAGGGATCGCGATGGCGTTGTCAAAAAAGAAGTTGCCGAAAGGAAAAAGGATTACGAATTAATAATTGGCTAACTGGTTCTAGACTACCAATACACACAATAGTCCATTTCATATACTACTGGGCCCGAGAAATGTCTTCAGTAACATTTTGTAAACGTGAACTAAATATGGGACAAAATGCTGTGGTTGATTGGAGTAATTATCTACGGGAGGTATGTGTAACAGAAATTTTCTTGAATCATATTTGGCAGAGTTTATGTGGAGAACACGTCTCGGAAAACAAGACGCATTTGAAACTATCCTCAAAGATATTTCTGAATTCTGGCCTCCATTATAACTAAAATATTCATATATTTTTACATTTTTATACATATTTTATATTTTATACATTTTTAATTTACATTTTATGCTATACATTTATATATTTAAAACAAAATAACATTATAACATTAAAATAATATATTATTATACATTGAAATATTTTTTTTTTTTTATGGAGGGGCGATAACAAACAAGAGTGGCGGGGCGATAAATTTTATAAGGTGTACTGGCGGGGCGATAACAAACAAGTACCGTATCAGGACAAACTTGATAAGCCTTAATATATATGTTTAATCATTATAATAAGAAAATATTTATCTAATAAGCCATTAGGTAATGTAAATTTGGGAGCTATTGAGTCTCGCCAAAAATTATTTTGCATAAACTATTTTTTTTTTAGGGCATTATACACAAATTTAAAATGACTGTTTTCGTATATAGATTAGGTTTTTTCCACATATCTGAACCCCATCCATATAAAAGTTATGTTTATACCACATTTCCCCTATATAGATAATATTAATGTAGGTAATTGATAGTTTGGTTTGAAAATATGTACCAAAATTTAATATTCTAACTAGGTATCTAACTTTAATATTCTAAGTATATAACTTAAAGTAAAAAGTCTCTTGATTGTAGAAATATTTTTTAAAATTTACCTATTCTTATTTCGTACCTATGCTAATTCAGAGCCGGATTGGACAAATTCGGCCCACCAAGTTTTCAGTACTTTACCAGTACACTTACAAACTGGCGGCCCTTGGGTAGTTGGGTAAGTTCCGTGCATAGTTTTTTTTTTTATTTTATAGTCTTCATTTCTTCAACTTTCAACTCTTAGCATATTTTCAGTCAGCGCGGCCCCTCGTGACTTGAACGGCCCAAAATTGTCGAGGCCCACAGAGTTTTACTCGGTAACTCACCAGGCCAATCCGGCCTTGTATAGTTGTATGCTAATGCTAGTGTATGTAAGTACTTGTCCTTGACCAAAATGTCAATAAAAAAAAATGTTTAAAAAACTACTTATTTATATTGGAATACAAAGTATGCAATATAAGTACACATTGGTATACAAGGTGATATTTAAACATTGCATAGTATGCATATCGAATGGCTTATAACTAGTAACGAAGTATACTCGACCAGTACCTATATTTACTATTACCATTCACCGTCACAACTCACATGTCCAGGTAAATAATCAATAATGGTCAACCAAATATGAACATTTTTTAAAATTAAAAATGTATAAATCCTATTTGTGTAGTTGAGCACATTTTTTATTTTGTTACCTATACTAATTATTAATTTGCTGTAGTAAAAACTAATAATATATACTAACATTAACAAGCAAACCGTTAATAATTATTGTTCAACCACTACAACCAAACATTTATTTCCTACATTGAAAATAGTGGGATCGTGATTATTAATTATGTATAGGTACTTTAATAAAAGGTAACAAAATAAAAGTATTTAAACTGATTGGCCATTATAATTTTTAAGAGAAGTATTAACAGTGAACACTAGTTTAAACTATAGTTATTTTATTTATTAATTATTTTCATATTCTTGCATAATTATTTAAAAACTCCATAACCGTGTTGAAGAATATTTTAATTCACTAATATTTACAACTTGTAAATTTGTAAAATATCAACTATTATATACCTATAGACAAAAAACAATTTGGATAAATAATTTAATCAGTAAATAGAATTTATATACTGATATCAATTGTAGGTATGTATGACGTGTGTTTACATTTAAATCGATGATAAATAATTTATTGAAGGTATGCTACCTATAATATGTACGATATACATCGTCTTTATTACATTATATTTCATACTTTTTAGGTTTTACAATTCTAGCATAGAAATATATGATGTGTTCAGAAGCGATAGAAACCCTATCGTTAAAAGAAATAAAATAATCTTGCAGGTATGTATATGAAGTATATATAAAGTGCCTATTATATGACTACATTATAATATAAAATAATAGGAAGAGACTTTAAAACGCATTAAAAATATTGTGTAATCCGGTAATGCGTAGTCCGGCAACCTTGTACTTTTATGCTGCGAGTATCAAATTTGATTTAAGGGTCAAGTTTCATACAATCACTCAAAAGCCCACTCTCTATATTATTATTATTATTTTTTTTTACATGATTACCCAACTAAAAATAGATTTTAGTACCTACTTTTAAAATATTTTGCAGCACCTGCATACCTAGAGATATTAATAACAAAAAGTAATTAAAATTTTTTAAAAGGGCGAGTTAAAAATGTAGTAATGTAGTAATATATATGCATCATATATTATGAGATATGGCTAGAAGTTGAAAAATATTAAAAATACATATTCACAATTTTTTTTTATAAGGATTTAAAGTTCTATTTTTGATATTCAAATTTTATAGTTAAAGATTGAAAATTGAAACAAGGTTCCACGTAAGTACCTAGTTAATTCTGTAACCAAAAAATCTAAAAATATGCATAAACAAAGTTGTTTTTATAGTTCTATTGATAAAATGTTGGCGAAATTACATATTAAATAATCAAGAATAAGTTTTTTTTTATTATTTTATATCATTGAATTCTATTTTAATACCATAAATTACAGTGACCCTGCACTTGTAACCTACTATACAGCAGAGCGACTTATCCCATCCACTTTATTGAATTATATAGTTTTTAGGAAATTTATTCATTACCTATAATATACCTACCAATATTATATTCATTATAATTTATAAATTAATAAAGTAATAAGTAATAATAATAGTACCTACTCAAATTTTGTTTTTAGAACTAATTTTTAACCTTGTAAATAAACCTTGTGGGTAACAATAGATTTTCAGGTATAAAATTGGATCACCGTCCTAAAAAGATTGAGAACCACTGGTTTCGATAATATTTTGGTAGTTAATGCAAGTTATCACATTATGGAGTTTAAAATAATTTTCTAGTTTTTTCTATATCCATATCACGGTTTAAATATATATAATATTTACATAGGTAGGTAACCTATATTTAGTTATAATTTATAATTTTAATATTTTTTATATTGTTTTAAGTTTTTTCGGAAGACAGTTCGAATTTTCTCAGACGTATTATTTAAAAACGATTCACATGTACGAATACACCATAATTAAATAACTTACTCAGTTTATTTTTGCCATAATAGAATTCTTTCCAAACATTAGGTACCCTACCTACGCATTTGTCAACCTAACATAATATAACAAATGTGAAATGAGTAGTTTTTATCTAATTTCTTTATTTATGGTCCGGTACACTTCAAAAATGTTTATTAAGGCTTATCAAGTTTGTCCTGATACTTTTATATTAAATGGACATTTCTGCTGGACAGGTAATATTTATGTTTGTATAGTAGTTACTAGTTACAAAGACAATATTCATACATACCTACATTGTACAGCTGGGTTATAATTGTTATAATATTGTTCTCAATATGTTTTCCTATCTATGTCAGATCGTTTCAAAATACTCCCCAAAATGCCTGGATATTTTTATATTCTATAGATTATTATTTTCCAACTTTTTTTATCGAAACTCAAGTAATTTCGATGTTTATGTTTTGTCAGAATTAGCAGCCTACTCCCATAATACGTATTACCTAATACCTATATTTTAAGTGTTTATATATTTAATATTTTTAATATTTTAATGTTCGAAGTAATCAGAAAGTTATTAAGAAACTCAGAAGGTTAATGGTTAGTATATTGTGGATTTTACATTTTCAAAAAATATCAGTTTACAGTTTGATCTTTAATCTATAAAATAGATGCTATTCTATAAATCCTTCACAAATAAAACGTTTAGAATTTCAGCCAAACGTGACATGAAAAATAAAAATAAAACTCTTAGTGGACAATAGCCCGGCTATAAAAATAATGGTAATTTTTTCAACTTCGTGGACGATCCAATTTTATTTTCATTTTTTTTTTTTGTATTGTATATTCGTCTCTATATGCATCCCACGTTCTTGTTATCTGTTTTCGCCTTTCACGCAGCTCTAAAATACCCACCTATTCAATGAATCGATAGATTTAGTCATATCAATACTAAACCATCGAGTACACATGGAAACCTTACTATCTTCACTCTTCAGTATATTGTACATACCTACTCAGTTTTATTCAGTTAACAAAATAATCATTGCCAAACCGACATAGGGCCGGTTTTTCAATTGTTATAGTAACTGCCAGTTAGTTAACTTTCAGTTAATTTAAACCATCAGTTAAAACGCCGGTTAAAAAGTGCACTGTTTATCAAGCCAAATTAATGTGCCAGTTAGTTAACTAGAGGTTAATCGTAAAATCAATATATCTTGCGAGTGGTCATACTGCAAAAAGTGTATTATCTTAATACATCTGTCTATTATCAATAGTATAAACGAGTTAACGAGCATAATTATTAAAAAAAAATTGAATGTGTCCGTAACTCGTAAGTGCTAGTATTTTATTATTTTATTTATTTTATTATTTAACTCACCAGGGCTTTTAATTTTAATGAGTACAGTCAATGGCCCCAATAACCAACGGCAATTTGGCTAAACCATACAATTGTTTATGCAGCTCTTTTATTTCGTCATTTGTTTCTGGCATTTTAACTATTTGAGGACGAAGTTTTGCCAAGGCTACACTTACATCATGTACGATAACACATGCAGCAGATTTACTTACACCCATGACATCTCCAGCACTAATTAAAAAAGATGCCGTAGCATAAAATCTCAGAGCTAATAATAATTTTTGTGCAGGTGTTATAGAATTACTTCTGTACATAAAAAAAAAAAGTCACTGAGTATTTTATTTGGATTAATTTTTGAATAATGTAAATACTACTATGTACATTATTACCTGTCTGTATTTGAGGATATTGTAGGGCCAATCATATTTAATATCATCATAACAGTTTCTTTAGATAATCTAAAGCGATTTTAAAAAATCTAGTTCATCCCAAGTCCTAAAATGATGAACCCTAGTTCGTACAGTATACGGTCTACGTTGATAATTTAAATATTCTTGAAATTCAACGTCATCGTCATAAAAAAAGTATTTCATTTTCGAAATTCATAGTTGTAACTTGTAAGTAAGTACCTGAATTCAAATTATAAAGAAAAAATAGAAGTGAATGTGAAACGTATTAAAATGTACTTGTGAAAATTATCACAATCAATGATAATTATTAAATTAACTAACAGTTAAAAAGTTAATCGGAAGAAATAGTAGTGGTTAGTTTAACTATCAGTTAAACCTGATAGTTAACTTAACTGGAGTTCCAAAAACAGTTTAACTGGAACAACGTATTAACCGGCAGTTAAATTCTACTAACTGCCAGTTAAAGTCAATTGAAAAACCGGGCCATAGTTGATTCTATTGGATTGCAATCTGGAGGTGACCGAAACATCTAATATTAAACTCTTAGCGTTATTATTTTTGCTTATTCAAGTATACGATATTAATATTTGCTATGTTCCGTAGTATAGCCATAATTTATAAATAAATTGAATTAAACCAAAATTATTATTAAACTCCGTAGGTAGTTAACGTTTTTGTTCAAACACCAAAATTACATTTTATATTTTAATGAAAATATTAAATTCCAGACGAAATATGGCACTGACAGAAAATATATTTTTTAGTTATATATTTTAAATTATAACTTACACCCCCAACCAAGTAATTACGATTAGTCCGTTTCGACACTAATGTTTTTCAGTTTCTACATCGATATTTAATACTTTATATTAAAAACGTCTAAATATTATAATTGTTTTTGATAGAAACATTACTACATTTACACTATCTACCTACTAAGTAAAGGTGGGCATTAACCAGTTAGTTAATTTTCTAATTAACTTTAGAACTTAACTTAACTATAACTTACTCTTTAAATAACTTAGCTTTTTTCAGTTAATTTTAAAATAACCCATCAAGTTAAAATTAAAATTATTAGATGTGAACAATACTTCCTATACCTACTTACCACTATACATTTTTGTTTGCTGCTTTTAGATTCAAACATTCATAATCAGAATAATTCAGAGGATTCAAGTGTTTTACTATTTGAATTGCGAAATAGGTACCTATATTTCTATATCTGGAAGAGAGTCCTACAGTAAGTAGGTATAGACAACAAATCTTCACTTCTGTTTTCCGAGTCTATAAACAATATTTATTGGACACTTAAATTACAATTTCCTTAAGATACTAGACTGTGGTCATAATAAATATAGTACCTACCGATGAAATGGCTGTAGGTACTTCACAAAAGGTAATAACACAGAACCCACTTACCCACACCCCCCGCAGAAAACTATTAGTTTTATTATTCGTTCTAACCATGCCAATTTCAAGTTTCCATTACGAAAGAAATTTTTAAAGTGTAATCATGTATTTACATATTATTGGTGATTGGCCTTCGTCTTCGTATTTATACATATAGTTATAAATTATAATCAATATCTAAAAGACTTTAACACAATATACCTATCTCAGTCTCTGCATAAATAATTTATTATTTACTTATAATTCATTGTAAAAAAGTCGTTATGTCGTTATGTAAATAATGTAGATTGTATTTAACACTTTAATAGGTACATGAGAAATTAAACAATAACTACCTAATAAGATAATCAAATTCTGAATTCAGACATTAAACTTAAACTAAACATACGATTTTTTTATGAGATGGTGCTATTAAAAACATTTTGAATGTGTAAGTAACCATCGGAGAACAAGAACGAACAATGGAAATTCTTGGTGAAGAAACTGTTGTAGCATATGCTGATGACATAGTTCTTTTAGGGAATACGAGAGCAGAAATTACCCGCTCAGTTTCTAAACTAATAGAAGCCAGCAAAAACATGGGTTTATGTATCAATGAAGAAAAGACTAAACTTATGATACTATCTAGAAGAAACGTAGACCAGTCAAATTTGAAAGTAGGAAGTATGACTTTTGAAAAGGTGCATAATTTCAAATACTTAGGTGTTAATATAAACAGCAATAACAACATGCATAGGGAAATAAAAGAAAGAATATCGAATGGAAATAGATGTTACTTTAGCATAAACAAGTTATTGAGATCAAAAGTGCTATCAAGAAAGTCAAAAACTACACTGTACACAAGCTATCTTAGTAGCAAATCATAGTAACCTACAGATGTGAGACTTGGTCCACGACAAAAGATGACGATAGAAAACTTGCTATATGGGAAAGGAAAATATGAAGAAATATACATGGACCGGTGTACAACGACAACCTCGGAATTTATGAAAAGAGGCACAATGAAGAGCTGTATGACCTGTATGAAAAACCAAATATACCCACATGGCCACATATATAAGGTGTAAACGTCTTGAGTGGCTGGGACATGTATGGAGAGCTGATGGAGATATATTAAAAAATGTTCTGATAGAAAAAATAAATAAAAAAACGTCCACTTGGAAGACCAAGAACAAGATGGAAAGACACCCTAGAAAAGGATATGAGACTAATAGATGAGCATGCAACGTTAGACTGGACTTTGGACAGAGAAAAATGGAATGGCTTACTAGTGGCAGCGCAGGTCCTTAATGGACCGTTAAGCTGTTAAAGAAGAAGAAGAAGTAACCATCGGAAATTCATAGTGCATTATGATTATGGCAACAGTTGGACGTGCATATTATTTTCAATCATGATTTTGAATATTAAACATGTTTATAAAAATAACTTTTGGTTATGATTCAATCATACACAAACTTTTTTTTTTTAAATGTTATAAAACCGGAAATCATATAAGGTGAAAAATATTATATACTGTACCTATTACCTACTCTGTTTCTGAGAGTAATAATTAATAAAATATATAATAAGGTACTTGCAATACATAAAATAACATTTTTCTATAATTTATAAATTATAATATCAATTACCTATCAAGTACCTACTTGTACAATAACATGTGATATTGAAAAATATTGGAAGCTAAAAATTGGCAATATTATGAATGTGGTAGAAGTGTAGAACACGTGTCAAAAAGGATAATTTATTTTTATTACAAATATTTTCTACGTGCCCCCAAAAAAATATACTGTAATATCGTATACTTATTTATTTATATTGTTCAATTGACACATTTTTTGAGATACCAAATCTGTTAACTTCAGAATATATTCAATTCAGTGATCCCACTTTGTTACAAAATCATATGACATTAAATATAGGTAAATATGGGACAAAAAATAGCGATATATCTGAACAAAATAAATTCAATTTTCAAATTGTATTTTGAATTAAATATTATATTAAAAAAAAATTCTTATGAGTATATTTAGTTAGTAAATTGAATTAAAACTTAAGAGGATGTCAATGCACTATTAGTTTTATTTCTTTCACCCACACCCAACATTGCAAATTTGCATCCACTGTCCAGCAGAACAATATTGTAAATAATATTGACCATTCACAATGGAGGTAGTTTTATTATGATCTCTGTTCATTAGTTTCTTTGCCATATTTCAATATGTATGCAATTTACGAGTATCTGAAATATTAAAATTGAAAATTGAAATTTTTTTTTTTTTAATGTAAAATAATTTTAAAAATCCCAACGTACAAAATATTTTTACTTGTTTTTTCTTAACACATTTATAGTTTGATTCGATCCAATATTAATTAGCTTATAAAGATAACAATACAAGATTGGTTCTGCTGAACGCAAATTTGCTATACAAATAATATAAATAAATACCAGATCGAACAATATGCAGATATCCTAAAAAAGAAATGTAAAATAAAGTTATGTATTAAATGTGTATATAGGTAATATATTTATAACTAAACAATAATATTATTTTGTTATAGATTTACATTTTTTTCTTGTAAATTATTTTTGATCATTATTAAATCTATATAGTCAATAATTCAGAGACGTATATGCGAGAGGACTACGGGGCCTACGAGGCCTATATGCACCCCATACAAAATTCCTGGCTACACCACTGGTCAAAATTATAGTAATATCTACTTTTATTTTAACACTATAAATGTTTTCACAATAATAAAATTTACTAAAATTGAATTTATTCATAAGAACATTATAGCAACTTATTGGTATCTAATAAAAATAAAATAGTCATGCGAAGTTTATAAAACTAAAGTATTTAAAATGTTTTGTGGATTTGTTTTTTTATTCTATTGCAATATTTTGTAGAATACCTACACAAATTTGGAACACATTGAGTATTTAAAAAAAAATATTAAATTTTGTTTGGTTGAAATTTAATTTGAAATGGCTTATATTTAATTCGTGTACCTATACCAATTGACTAATAATTAGTAATTACGATCGGACTTTCGAAGGTTACTGTTTTAATATATAGGTACGGCTTACTGGCGACATTTGAATAATGTCGACATGTCATCAAACTCACATCGAAGCAGTGGCGTAATTACGGGGGGGATTTGGGTGTCGTATCCCCCCGTAACCGTTTTTTTTTTTTTTAATTTTCAAACACATTTATCATTTATGTACTAATTTTATTAAGTACCTATATTTTATAGATAATACAAAAATCACCCGAATCTCCATAATATTATATAATATATAATCATCCAACAATATTATCAAACAATAATATACCCTCTAAAAATAAGTGATGGATTTTTCACATTATCGGTTTATTGGAATATTCCCAATCGCAACGACTCTCCGGAATCCGAGATCCGACCTCCGTTACCGTTAGTCTGTTAGTCAGACTGTTACCATGTTCTCATTTGGTAATAATCAGCTCTATTATCTGCACTCCGCTGCTTAAAGTGCTTAATGAATTCTTGACCGCGGAGAAATTTCTGACTGATCTGAAATGATTTAAAAATAATAAACTATTCACCCATTTATAACACCGTA